GAAAGAATTAGAGAAAAAATATTCATTAGTCGAAAAACAACATCCAAGTGATTCAGCTAAAGTTACCCGCATTCACTCATATTTATTTCATCAACAACACTATCAAGTACATTATGATCAACACACGAAGATTTCAAAAAACACCAATAAATGAATGTGGTATATTAAGTAGTGGTAAACAATTATCAACAGCATCAGGAGAAGGAGAAGAAATCAATGATAACCAACAAGAGCAATTACCAAGTGGTGTTATTGAGATGATGGATAAAAGTCATACTGTCCTATTGTCAAAATTATATGATGTAATGAAACAATTCCGATTAAAAAGAAAATCACAATCAGTACCACCACCGTGGTCGTTATTACAATTCACACTCTCTAGCACTGATTTACCATGCCCATGCTTTCACAATGACACAAGTGAGGAAGACAGTCTACTACGAACAAGTATTAGTGGTAACTGCCAACTAGTGGATGGTCATAGATTTAACAAGCATTTATCAGAACATCACAAAATATTTAGTGATTGGAATTGGAACTGGCTATGGCCATTTATGGTGCCTTGAAAGAAAATGAACATCAACAACAGTGGATAGTTCTAGAAACAGACTAAATTTTTCATTCTTTTCCGTGGGTTTTCAGTTTTCAAATTGCTCGGCGATCAATTTTAGTAAGGGGGGAGGTGTTATGCCACGCACTACAGTCGTGTCATAAGGAAGAAGATCATAGTTAAGGTTATTGCGCAAGCATATAGTCTAAGTAACTGCGCAGGAGTATATTCAAGGTTATGGTGCAAGACTACTCAATGCTATGGTGCAAGAATATATTCAAGGTTATTGCGCAGAGTCTAGCCAAGGTTATTGCGTAGACCCTAGTCAAGGTTATTACACAGTCTACTCAAAGCTATCGCGTAATATTTCGTATATAAATAGATTAATTTTATTATTAAGGATAATCTTTTTCATTTGTAAATAAACGTTAGGTGAGAAAGATCTTAGTTCACCCGGGAACCTAACACACTGAAAGGGATAGAACCAGATATTCTAGATCTGCGTGAAATTCTCTATCGATTGATATATGTAGTGCTGTAACTTCGAATTTCACGCGCCTTACACTGTAGTAAAAAATGTATACCATCTTCTTTTCTGATATATTTTTTGCTCTCTGAACTTTATTTGTTACTTATGATTAATATGTCATACGATGCAGCGAAGTCTGTACTTTATCGCTATATACTGATTATCGAAAAAAGTAGACTACAATAGTCTTAAGCAAGAAAAAAAAGGAAGAAAATTAAACTGGCGCGCACTGTATTTTGTTACTGCTTCTAGTACATTATTAAGAACGGTATGGATAAACTAACTTTGGGGTATTCATAAACTACGCTCTCCAAACTGATTTTTAATTACATGGTTGGATAGAGGATGCCGAGTTTTCTTCACACCCATCCATATCTTTTTCTGTCTTACCTTTGCTGACGTACAGGGTGGCTGTCATCATCCTCAATTCAACCATGTGACTAGAGGTTAGTTTGTGGGTGTGTGTGAATGGATTTTGGTTGAGAGTGTGGTTTACGAATATCTTCCAGCCACCCTGTACTTTAACAAAGCTAAGACAGAAAAAACATGGATGGACGTGAAGAAACTCGGCATCCTCTATCCAACTATGAAACAGTAGATTATAGTAAGAAAGTAAAATATACGGTATTAATTACTATAAGACGTGATGAAATTGTGTTATATCCTATAGTATCAACCTTCGAATTGAATATAACCGGACTGCAAACTTTATCTGATTGGATGTACCGGTGCTGTGCACATTAAAGTAGCGCCGATCGCGGGAAGTTTTGTTGCGCAAAAGGCCATTTTCCGAGCTATCAAAAAGTGAGTGCATTGAAAATCGCAGCGAAATCCAAGTTTCGAGAAGAATGTCTTTTAATGCGGAGGGTCTGTTTGGTAAAATACTAATAAAGATACATCCAAAGACGACTTTAGGTTCTTTAGTACCATGGTGCTTTGTTTAAGTACTTCGGATACTTTCAACTTCAGTAGTGCTAAATCCAATATTTAGATTTTTGGCTCTTTTGTACTAGGGGTACGTCGGACGTTTGCCTAGTAGCAGTGAGGCTGGAAATGGAATTTGCGATACCAAGAGCTGGTACTGGCAGTAGACTATATAAATTTTCGTTTTATGGTTATTACTCACTTATGGAGCTTTCCTTTCCTCGCTCTCTAACTTTTTCTTTCTTTCTTGCCTCATTCGTACACGATTCACCTGAAGTTAGAGACAGAGGACAGGAAAGCTCCATAAGTGACCACAAAACGAAAATTTAAATAGTCTACTGCCAGCACCAGCTCTTGGTATCGCAAATACCATTTCCAGTCTCGCTACTATTGAACATACGTGCGATGTACCTATAGTAGAAAAGAGTCAAAAATCTAAATATTGGACTCAGCACTACTGAATTTGAAAGTACCTGAAATACTTAAGCAAAGCACAGCGGTACTAAACTGTATAGAGAATGTATATCTGTGGATACTATTGTGTATTACCAATGTCAGTTCGTTGCTAGAGCCATTCTAGCACCCTGTGAATAAGACAGAATGGCTGAGCCGCAGTTTTCTGCGCGTCAAACAGGATCCAACCGATACTCACTACATCCTGGAAGCTACTAACAGCAAAGCGAGCTTATGCTGACGTCACTCACGGGTGCAATGACTTTAGCCTTTAGATGCATGTCTCACTTTAGTGCATTTTTATTGCACAAACCATGCACAGTCAACATGTTTAACAAGACTATACACAGTACAAGTCCTTAGATTTCTACATTTTCTGTAAAAGAACGCCTCTTTTCGATCGTCAGAGTAGTTAAAGAAAACAATTTCAGCATTGTGACGACAACAGTGGAAAGAATTTGTGTTTCTCTACTCTCTCACGCGTTGAAACTGCTATGTGTTTGCTTTGCAAATTCCTTATTTTTCTCATGTAATTGCTCTCTGAACACGTCAAAAAACGAGAGTATAAAAATAATAAACACTATAGTAAGAACATAATAGATGCGCTGTCGGTAACGGATACTGATGTTTTTCTGTATATGTCATTTAAAATAAGGATAACGAACATACATATCTTTCCATGTCGACAAAATCGGGATATTTTTAACAATTAATCGCGATTCTTGAAACATAGCAAATTAATTGCGATTAATTGGCAATTAATTAAAAAGGCTTTTCACTTAATCCAGATCGAAAATGGATAGAAATTGAAACGTTTCATCTTACGACATTCCCGACTGTAGAACATACACAAAAGTTAATTTTGCATCCCAAGGCATCTAAGAGTAGAACAGGTATCGACGCGGCGCTTCGAAGGCATAAGAAATAAAAAAAAGAAAGACCCCGTATTTCTTCGATGTAGAACGTATAGTGATACGGGGTGTAAGTGAACGGCTAAAAGTACGCCCCGTACTCTTTCACAGGGGAACGGTAGAATGTAAATAAATCAGCCTCAGTACGGGGCCTGGGCCCCGTATAAAGTTTTGATACGGGGTCAGAACGCCCGTTCTAAAATTTTTTTAAGCTCTTGGGTTATTACTATCAATACCAGATAATACACACGAAAGAGATTTAACATTAGAACAGTGTATTAAACAGCTATCAATAAAAGAAACATTAACACCTAAAAGTCGTTGGTATTGTTCTGAATGCAATGCCTTTAGACAATCAACAAAAGAAAATGAATTATGGTTATTACCATCAGTCGGTACTTCAGAAACACTGAAAGTCGGTACTTGGAATGTCAGATCAATGATGATGAATGAGAAACTAGAGAATGTGAAGATAGAGATGGCGAAAAATGAACTGAATGTTATTCAAGTAAGAAGTACAAAACTCCAACGAAATGCATCTTTTAGTGAAGTTAACTACTACACTGATTTACCGAGCTTTCGACCTGTTTATTCTTCGGTCATTTTCAAGGCGAATGATAAAAAGAAAA